CGCTATTAATTGCTCTATTAATTAGTGAATGAATGAAACAATCGTTTTGAGTTCGTAAAATCTGCTGCTGTCTATGTGAAATTCCAAGAAAATCAAAAATGTTCACTTCAGAGACTGGAGAACGGTTATTGTATTGTGTATTGCAGTTTGACTGCTTGCATGAGACAGACCAACTGCACAGATCGCAATCAGTTGACGGATATCATTCAAATTCTAATTTTAAAGTTGTATCACGCCTTCGGTTGAAGATTATTTTGAAGCACTTCTGTTGAACAACTACAAATTATTCCTATGAACCAGTGCAGCATGTTATAATCAAATATCCCTTCCTTAACCTGTAACTTCCTGTGATCACCCAGGCTACTTTTGCGTTTTCGCTCAACCATTTCATGCTCAACTCTCAAAATTGCCTCAAATGCCGTCATCAGAATCAAGATTAATAAGAATAAAGATCATTAAACTGTTTTCTTCGGCCTGCACAAAAAGGTTCAAGAAATGGCACTGAGATGATTGCACTTGAACGACCGAATTTAATTGCAATGAAATGATCAGTCAAGTGGAAATGTTCTTGGATACTCTGTTGTTCGATTACTTCCTTCATTTTGTGTGATATTTTTCTTCTTCACGCATTTAATGTGAAACTCATTCCTTTCAGAGATTGCAATGGTAAAACGCATTGCATTCCTCGATTCATTACGTAAACTCCCCTACTTCCGGATCAGCATAAATAATGCCCATAATTCAATGAATATATGAAAAATTTGTTTGTTGCGTGTTTTTGGCACCATCCTTATGAAAAGTTTATTAGCACTGAAAAAGAGTACAGCCAATGGGATGAGACATAGTGCAGTATATACTAGCGACAATGTAACATTACAACAACGACTTAATTAAACTATCCGCAAATATCATAACTTAATTAGCAAAAACTCCAGATATTTCTTTTTCGATCATAATTTGAACATCTATAAGAAACAATTCATCTTTTTTGAACAATTATTACCAATAGTGCGGAATAAATCAAAAATTACTTCATAAGAAAAAATAGGACTTACCAGAACTGCTAGAAAATACTATCATTTTGAATGGTGAAATAAATTCAGTTATAAATCTGCGGATGAAAAATGGGAACTGTTTGACTGACGATGGAAGAAAAAGAAAACGCGAGGAAAATGAAAATTTGAACAAATTTCGATCTCGGACAACATTTCATAGCAAAATACAACAAATCGAATGAAACTGAAATTAATCAATGAGATTGTCGACGAACACAATGATAACGACAATAATAACAATAATACTAACAATGACAATGACGACATCATCAATAGCAAGCAAGCGATAAGAAAATAAAAATGTTCAAAGTTAATTGGTTCAATAAATTTGAATCGATGTAACAATTCAAAGTGGGCTGTTGCTAATTCACCACTGCATCAATAATGCTTACGACAATAATTGATTACGTACGAAAATCTCTTCCATCACGGCCTCCCGCAAATGCTAATTTCACAATATACGGCGCTTTTCCAACTGAAATTTCCATTCAACATTGTTATTTCTTCCACTTTGGAAGACTTTTCTCTATTGTTTAACGCAATTAATCGAATCCCTTTTAACTACACCGAATACACCTCTTGATGAATTCGATTTTATAATTCAATCAACCACACGTGATGTGTTTTCTATTAACTTTTTCGAATGACCACATCCCTCTTCATCATCATGAATCCACGAATAAAAAGAATTGCAGCTATAAATTGGGAAACTACTTTTGTCCATTGACGGGGAAGAGTTCAATGAAATTTGGGATTGTGCACTTGCAGATGATCCTACAAAAACAGAATGGAATAAGTAAGAAAAGAAAAGTAAAAACTTACGAGGACTATCAACAGGTGTGTGATTGGCAAGTAGAAGCGCTTCAACAGCTTGTTCAGTGCTATCAAATTCACAGATTCCCGATGAACTTCTTTCGGACTTTTGTGGGAACATCGTTACATTTTTCGGCTTCGCGGCACCACGATCAGCGAACAACTGCAATTCGTACTATTCATTTCTTCGAAAACACCCATCAACGTCCAATAAAATAACAATAACTGTAATAATAACCGACAATAACAATGTTCATCATCTACCTCCTTTAGTTTCTCCTCAGTCATCGTAACTGGTGCATTGAACCAATGTAAAACATTTGTTGGTTTAACGATTCGATTACGAGACGCATGCTCTGGCGTTGAATAGCGCTGATTGCGACTTCCCACATAATCTCTTCAAATCAAACTTCAATCAATCCTACTTGTGATCTATTCTAAGTGACTGTCAATTAGTTCACTTACATGAACGGTCTACCTAGACGTAATTGACGTAATTATATTAACATCCAAGTTATACAGTAACACTTCAAAAAAGTTTCTGGCACATATCATTTCAAAAACTAACGGGCTATAATGCTGATTCAAACAAACATGGAACGGATTATGGTGTAATAACCAAACAATAATAATAATCATAATTCAGGTCCATACTTGAATGAAGGAGTACCATCCGGTAGATCAAATGGATCACGAATTTCATGCAAGATTTGCTGTTTCGATGGTCGAAGTGCTAACTTCTGACCGAATAGAATCGTACCGTGGAGATTATCAATAGCCGTATACACTTCACGTACACTGCCCATTTGAGCCATGCACGTATCCGGTTTGGACTTCATGAACTTAATCTAAAATGAGACATTCGCAAACAATTATTCTTATTCAAACAGCAATAGTGATAATGATGAAACCAATTAAGGAACGAAAGCCTTAATTTTGAACATTCAATTGGAACCAAACGGCACGGGATGGAACAAGAACAGGATTTTGAAACTAACACGGTCACAATTGCCATATAAGCACAACAGATTGAATATTTTGTCGCAGTTGAAATTCTTCTGATCAATTCCATAAACCATGACAACTGGACCATCAGCACCAGGATCATTATGATAATAGTCACCTCCTATAGCACCACGACCTGATTTTCAGCCTTTATTACTCTCATTATTACTATTATTCCCATCGATTGTATGCATATGTGGAACGAATCAATTTCAGTAGAACAATAAATATATCGAATTAATTTCAGCAGTTTCTAAATGTACTGCGGAAATTTCAGAGCAACAAATATATATGGAAGGAATTAATTTCAGTAGAAAATGCAGCAGCTACAATAATTCGAAATGGTATTGGAGAAAACTGAATAGGGCTTATTGCGACACGGAACGGTTGATTTGGGATAGTATATTGGGGAGGATGACTCGAAGATTATATTGGATGGAGAATGCAAACCTCTTCCTCTGCCGAATCCACCCTCGGCTCGGCCGAACCCACCCTCTCCTCTGCCGTACCCTCCATGATCCCGACCGAATCCACCTTCCCCCCTGCTGAAGCCCCCTTCTCCTCGACCAAACCCTCCACGGTCTCTGCCAAACCCACCCTCACCTCTACCGTATCCGCTGTCGCCTCTACCGTAACCGCCTTCGCCTCTGCCGAAACCACCTCCACCTCTGCTAAATCCACCCTCACCTCTACCGTACCCACCTTCCCCTCTACCGTACCCACCTTCACCTCTACCGTAACCACCCTCGCCTCTAGCATAATTACCATCACCTCTACCGTAACCACCTTCACCTCTGCCGTATCCACCCTCTCCTCTAACATATCCACCATCGCCTCTACCGTATCCTCCATCTCCTCTACCGTATCCCCCATCCCCTCTACCGTATCCGCTATCACCTCTACCATATCCACCCTCGCCCCTACCATAAGCCCCATCACCTCTGCCATAACCTCCTTCGCCTCTGCTGTACCCAGCGTCACCTCTACCGTATCCCCCACCTCCCCTACCGTAACCCGCACCCTCATCTCTACCGTAACCGGCCGCACCATCTCTGTTGAAACCACCGCCTCTACCGTATCCACCTTCAGTCCTAGCACCGTAGCCACCCTCATCTCTATCGTATGCACCGTTACCACTCCCGCCTCTACCGGCGTAATAATCATCATTCGCAGCCCCTCCTCCGTATCCATCATCGAACTCGCCGAACCCTGCAGCACCTCCACTAGCAGCACCCCTACCGTAACTCGCACCCGTTTCACTACCGTATCGTTCGCCCCTCATATTCATCAAGCCACCACTCCCTGCAGCACCCGCATATCCAGCACTCCCGCCCGATCCATTACCACCACGACCTCGACCAAATCCACCACCTCCTCAAAACGAGTACGCTATACTATCAATCAAATACGCTATACATCAGTTCATTTGTGCGTAAACAAAATATTCCGACTAAAACGATGAATGAGGACAGGAATGTATCCGCTATATTTTAAAAATATGTACTTTAATTACAAAACACATCATAAAAAGCTTAATCATCGACTCCACAGCAAAATCAACTGTGAACAATAATGGGTACGAACAAATTGCACAACTGCTCTCAGATCAATTTTCCAGCTAAGACGCACGCACAACAATTGTTTCTTCTTGATCTTATTACAAATATTATAATAAAACAAAACACTATAATTCAAACACTTCTTCAATAAAGAAGGAAACAAATATAAACGAAGGCTTACTTCCACCCCGAGGTGAAGGACCGTTGTCATTTAACAGAGGTGGTTTGCGCGTTTCTTCAGGAAATGACTCTGAAATTGGAAATGATGCTGTAATGAAGTGGTACTTGAATTGCTGCATTCAAGTTCTTTCATCGAACACTGATTTTGTTCCATTGGAACATTAAAAATGAAACACCTAAATAAGCATATGACGATCAATTAGAGAACAAATGAGCAATTCGTATGACAACAATCACTATTAACAAAATAACATTTGAATAGTTTCTCGAAAGGTTTTGAACTGATTGAAAAGACACAATTTCGAATGCTTTTCATCGCAGGCAATGTATCGTAGGTTAGGCAGGAAAATCGAATAAGACAAAACGACGAATGAAGATAAGAATGAAAATTGAAACAGATTATATATGAAGGATGGCAGATTGACAGAATGTGTAAGTCGCAGAAACAAACAGGGCACATGATATCAATAAGATTAAACATCAAACCTGATCTGTAAAGCAGATGATAAAATGTAATAAATAAACAAGCAATAGTTGTTCAAATAAACCATTAGTCCTCTAGAGATTAGGGATAATTGATAAAATCGTATACCTACGATCATTACGCTCATCATTCAGATAATCATCATGAGCTGTTGACGTTGAAATAAACAACAACAGCGTTGCGTTCAGGTAGCAGCAATCCAGAACACACTCAAACTGAGTATTCTGATCGGATTCGGATCTGCAGAAAACATTTAATAGCATCAGTTGCTTTACTGTTTCTTTCAGCATCATCCTTCTGTTGCTATTATTGCAGTGCGTTGAGGTGTCGTGTCGTCTTTTGTTGCTTTCATGCATGCTTCATGCCCTTCCTTCATGTCCTTTCATTTGTACTCTCTGCGAACGTGCTCATAATTCTGTTAAGCATTACGATGTTCTTTCTGTGATTAGCAGTCGTTTGCACGATGAGTTAAGTTTCATTCACGTTCAATCGAATCAATACTGCGTTCATATAAACAATGAAAAAGAACTTATGCCGTGCATCATTGTGTGATTCAACGAATTCACCACTATGAAGAGCTGTGAATTTTGAATGATGAACTGATCGTGTTATCAGTTAACTGATGTCACTTCTCTTATGAATCTTCCAAGTAAGACGTCAATCAACATGCGTACCTCTTTAAAGAGCCTCCTTGTGACGAACAAATTCGAACTGATTTAGTATGGTTGAAATATGAAATTATGTGAGAATGAATAAAAGTTCGCGTATGAAACGAATTGATATGAAATGATTAATATAATTGATGATGCAATATTCCCATAAGTGTGGTCTCCTATGACATGACATGATACGATAATGACAGTATAATTATAGATGAATGATGAGAAGTATAAAGATGATGAGTGATAGTAGTATGCTGATGATAATGCATAATGAATATCATCACATATGAGATCATTACACTCACTCTGCATGTTCTTCTGCAAATCACAAACTGGTCTCCATATCCGCACGGGTTAAACCTTGGGACTAGCAAAATAACGGAATCGAACCTTTCACTCACGACGAAACATCGGATATTGAGACCAGAGTGTGAATTTATGATATGTAGAAATGTTATGAATGAATAGATGAATGAATGCTGTTATGCATCACGCTATACACATAATATTCACTATATAGAGCGTTCTCAAAATTGACGTGCTATGAGAGATGAGTAATAAATTGCAATTATTATTAAGATGCATTCGTAATGGAATCATATTTCACTTCACATACATGCATTGAGTGTTGCGTCTATTGCTCGCTTGAAAAACTTCTGATATCTCAATATTTTATGTTTCTATTCACATATATCAAAAAATTATTACAGCTTTTTGGAGATCAAAAATTTTGCAACACACTCCGTTTAATGAGATTTTATGTCAAAAATAGTGGCGANTCACTCGAATTAAAACCGTTTGAAAATAATAGAACTATGACAAATGAAAAGAATGGAATATTCATACCTGTTGGTGCGCTATTCGTATAGTCCCATTGATCCTGATCATTTCGGGTTACCTTCACATGGTCGGGCTGAATGATAGTGACATTGAAAACTTGCAATCAGAATATTTTTTTCCACATTGCCAAAGGAACGATAAGAGAATAAAATGAAGTAAAGGTTAAATTGTGAGTGAAGAACCTTGGCAAATTCGACTTTAAGAGTGCAGCATCCAGAATAGATATCAGCACCATTCATAGCGTGTTTTGCTTTCTTGGCAACATCGGCACTCTCGAATTCAACCAATGCTTGTAACATTGAACGTCGTATCATTGCTATGCGCTTCACAAAACCGTGTGGCTCGCAAATCTTAATTTACTATTCAATATAATGCATAGATACTTGTATTTTATAAAAGTATGATTTCTCCAGTCATCTTATTATGAATCAATTGATTCATTTACTTCATTCGAGTTTTCACTACAACAGTATTTCACTTTAGTACCGCATATCTCTCATACGATGACACATTACGACCAACCAACCGGCATGTTTATCCTCCTTTTAAAGAACATTAATTTGAATGTTTCATAAAAATGGGTAGAAATGATTTTCCAGTGGCACTACATAAATCAATACCATTCAATATACCATTAATACGAGAGCGAACAGAAAGGAAGATGCGACCGAAAATGAGTGAAAGGCGACACCACCTGAAATGAATGAAAACTGATTTCAAAGTCACCTGATGGATAACGTCAACATTGACAGGGTACTGAGCGTTGTAAATGGTCAAAATAAGGACGTGATTAGGATGTTCCGATTCGAGACCAAGTCTCTGAATCATTTTCGATGTTGAGTAATTGAATAAAGCTGCTTGTCCGGCGACATATATCTGATTGGTTTGTGCATAAACAACGCACGCACGTGCACCTTCTACTTCCTTAATTCATTCATTATGAGTACACTTGATTACTTCTGGTATAGGAGTGTATTAATGCAATCAAATTCGGAGATCACCTTTCTTAATACTTCAGACAAAAACGCAATTGCAGAAGCTGATAGCTGGATTATGATAACTGGAGAATGAATGATGCAGAAGAACAATTTCTTGACAATTATGAGTTAACTGAAGCTGATTGTATACACGTGAAGAGGAGATTTTTGAGTGGTTCATGAAAAGTGCGAAATCAAAGTATTCCTTTCAAAACAACTACTTAAAATGAATATTACCTCGAACTCAACGAGAGCCATTCGTTTTCCAGGCATACAAGTAGCATACGAGATTGCACCAAAATGAGCAAGTGCTTCAAGCAGATCCGCTTCAGTTGCTTTCGGACTTAAATTGCGTACGTGTACAACCATTGATGGATCTGGATTTGTTGGATCCACATTATCGTCTCGACGATAACGTTTTGATGGTGGATCCATTTCCATTTTCATAGAATTCATCAACGAATCGAACTGACAAAGCAGCGGAGATAAACCAAAGCGCTTAATACCTACAATACAAGTAATAACTTCTTGAATGATGGCTTAATGATGTTGTCATTATAAAATAAACGAGAAGAAAACAATACGCTGAGAATTTGGGAATACTCCAGCAGACACAATATTTTAATGGCAAGTTTGCAGGTAACTTGTCTATAAAAGTGGACTACATTACATACAATCATTACAATGAGGCTAAGTCGTATTTTTGGCTGAGGCTTACGGTCCGTCTTAGCCCGAGACTCTCTCTGGAACTGAGGTGCACCTCCAGTTCACACTAAGTCTGGGCCACAGAACTTAGGCTCGGTGCTTCTGCAGTTAAGGGGGAGCACGTTTCGTTGTCTATATATGTGAACGCCCGTTGAAAGAGAGAAAATGGATAGCCTCAGCAGATGCTTAGTAGTAAGCGTTACTTTTAAGGGTTGCACCCCTTAATCCCTTAGGCTCATGCAAAGTTCACGCTGAGGCTCGTAGTGACGTGTCTTTTCATGAATATTTCAAGTACAAAATTACCATCAGACGTATGTATCGCAAAAGAGTGATTGTGACATTTTAATGAGTTCCCATTCAAGTGATTAGTTAAAAGCACTATTGAGATATTAATGTAAATTCGACGGATCATTGCGGCCTACCGGAGAAAACATGCAAACCTCATGCAAATGAGCGTGATAAAATGTTTAAAAAAACTGCTAAGGTGCAGTAGTTTGGCAACAATGCTTGTTTGTCAATGCGTTTCGCTCTTTTTGTGAAGGAACCACGTAATCAATGAGATGGAAAAGAGCGGTAGATTCCGAATGGATCTGAGTGACTGACTCTTTGCTGAAACTGAACACGAAGGCCCGGGAATGGAACGGAACAAGCAACGTTTCTAAAAATATTCGTGTAAAATTAGCCAAAAGCACATTCACTCGCGCGCGCGCCTTAGCGTTTGATAGCGAGGAACGAGAGAAAAATGCTTTGTAGGTGCGCGTAAAATGGGTCTGGGACGAACGGGACAATGGGCGTGAATCAAAACGGCGTGGAGACAGAGAGCCCGTCGATTGCCGAACTATGACTAACGATGAGAGTTGAGCACCACATTCGAGGAACCGTGCTCCTGAGCATTGTCAAGTGACATGTGCATTTCTTGTCATCATCTGATAACAGGATCTCAACTATCCGAAAAGCGTACATGTTGTCGACGAAATTTGCGTGCTGCTTAGGATGGGGTCGGTAAAAGAAGCCAAATTGCACTTTTGAAGCGACGCGGTCAGGTAGAGCACAGAGAAAAAGAGATCCAATAGGGCGAATTAATTCATCGATGAGGCACACGAATTTGACGTATTTCAAAGCCACACCTGACCTGAATGTGTACATGACGTCTCATTGGGAAGAGAAATAAATTTTCCACGTTCAGACAAA